TACACAGCATTTTTCTATTCTCTCTGATGCCTAATTAATAGTCCCTGGAGTCAGATTGTTGAAAATATAATAAATATATACCTTTTTGAACAGAAAGGATAGAAGCAATTCCAATATTTAAATTTCAATCTCTGTGAATATACTGACATGCTAAAACTAATGTAGCAAACAATGCTGACTAGATTACATGCTTTTCTGCCAGAATACAGAGATGGATAACCTTGAATCCAGTTTCATCATGAATGTCTTTATCCAGTGTCAAAATTAATTTCCTTATAAATCAAAAAATAGTTTTCACAAAATAAATGTTAAAAATTTGAAATATTGACAAAGGGAAAGCAAGGCAATTTGAACTATTAGACATTACTGTAGAAAATTATGTACAAGGATCTGACTACAGCATTTTTTATAATTGTGAAACTAACAATAATCTAAATTTCTACAAGGCATGAACAGTTAAACAAATAATAGAATAAAATGCAATCATTCTTCAGAGCAAACTTTAAAATAGTAAGTTAGAATCATGTGAACTGATATGAAAATATGTCAACAATGCATTGCCTGAGAAAGAGCACAATTTAAAAGAAAATATAGTTTGTTGTAATTTATTTTAATAAAAACTTTATGTTTATTTATACAGTTATAAAAAGTATTCAGAAAAATAAACACAAACGTCGTAAAATTAGTTCATTCTAAGAAGAAAATGAGTTTGGAGGGAAGGGATGCAAGAAAAGCCTTTCATTTTGTGGAGATCTTCATGATTTGGCTTTTGCTTAGAACATGTATCTAAGAATTAGAAAATAAAGAATGTTAGTACCTTTTGGTAGGAGGGCAACAACTTTATTTTTATCAATATTTACATTGTGTTTTAGTGTAGTACACCACCTGTAAGAAAAAGCCTAGAAGAATAATTGGGACAAAGAAAGTTCAGCTGCAAACTTGAGGATTATCTGTACATAGCAAATGTTCCAGGTGAGGAGTTGTCAGGATCTATGACAGCTCCAGGTCACTCAGAAAACCTAACACCACCTAAGGGTAAGACAGAGGACAGGGAAGGTCAAGTGTCAGCTAGTTCCCTTCCTCGCCTATTTGTGCAATTTCTCTATCATCAAGTAGAAAGTGGACCTAGAATGGGACATTTAACCTCGGGATGTGGTCAGAGAGTCAAAGAAGAATATGCAATAAGCATACATAATTTAGAGGTAGATTCAAGACTAAGTTTTCAAATGCATCAAAAAATTTGTGACGTTAACGAAGGAACTCAACCTGTCCAAGTATGCACTTTCCTCATCTGTAAAATGAAGATCATAGGCCTACTTCATCAACAGGTTGGAAGAGTTAAATTCACTGAGATAGTTAAAAGTGTCTGTTAAGCCGGGCTCGGTGGCTCAGCCTATAATCCCGCGCCTTTGGGAGGCTGAGGTGAGTGAATTGCCTGAGCCCGCGGGTTC